CACTCATCCATGCTTGATCTATGTCATTAGATATGTTGGTATGGTGACCATGGAAGATTAAGTTACATTATTGAAGTGACAAAAGACGTCATGATCTTATACGAACATAGAAGATGGACAAGATTGTACCTTAAAAGGGGTTCTAATTAAATAAATAGCATAAAGTTGCGCATTAAGAAAATTTAAATATAATTGATCAAGAATAACATGTAGCCCAAGTGGGAGATTGTTGGGATTTATTTATAAATCCAATAATAATTATGGGCTTACATATTATTATATAATTATATTACGCTATTTAAGTAATGGGCTAATTATGTGATTAATTAAAGAGAGCCCATTAGAACCCAATTTGGTATGAACTTAATGAGAGGAAGCTCATTAGGTTATAATTAGGGTTTAATGGGAACCCTAATTACAACTCTATATAAAGACGACTAGGGTTATGGTTCCCACACACCAAAATCAATACGTTCATTCTCTCCCCATTGGAAGGACATCAAGGATTTTGCGTTGAGGAAAGCCATAATTTTGGATCTACGTTTCATACTCAAGCCTAACTAATGGAGACGGATACGTGTATTCTTATTCGTATGTTCTTAATAATTCATTGTGATAATCTTTGTTTTTCCAACAGACAGTGGTATCGATCTCATTAGATTGTGGCAAAGTTTCATGGTTGGAACTCTTAAGTTAATATGAAGCAAATGATGAATGTTTTTTCCTTACTAACGTGGGACGTTTACCAAACACTAATCAATTACGTTGCCCGATGATCATAACTAATTCATATCAAACTAGAGCAAAGAACAAAATTGAAGACGAAAACTGAGATCACTCACGTGCCCAGCAAAAATCAGTGTATACATGTATCTGTGTATATATAGGCAAAGGATCATGTGAGAAAGGAAGGTATTGTGAGAAACGTAAGAAGAAAGATGAACCCTTCATCACTTTTAATCTCATGTCGGCCCATGAATTGCGCTTTAAAAGGGAATTGATCTAGTGCATCTCGATACACCTCATTAGTGTTGACATTCAATTAGAACTGATATAAGGGTGGTGATCTCTTCTTACGCTTCTCTTGGAGGCATTTTTTCGATGTCATTGTTGATCAGAGGCCTGCCGTTTATAGAACTCTCAGTTTCACCACCATGGCTGTCTACGGTGGACGCAACAGGTTTTCTTGGAGGGCTGCCGGTGGCCTGTGTCTTTCGGCCCGTCAATAAACTGTACACGCTGTCTTGTATGGAGCCAAATAACCGGAGCCGACCTAGTGGTTCTAGCACCAAGACATGAACCAAGACCACCGGAGCCGATATCATGGTAACGTAGAATATTATCTGGTAAGTAACAAAGTGGCTATGAACCAGTCGCCGGCGGTGGGTGGTTTGTTGTAATGCCCACCACGCAGCAAGAAAGTTGACGACAAATAATGCCACCGCAAGTTGAAGCCACTTCAAGAATCCGACACCCAATGAGTGGTGAAGCTGG